GGGGGGGAAATCAACCTAGTCAATTTTTCTGAGGAAACACTGTCAGAAGGTATCAGTTGTCTCTCAAAGGCCCCTGTTTAAAGGCTGTGTGTAGTTTTGGAGTGACAAAAGTATTGAATAGAAATTGCAAGGTAATTAAAAAAATGCCTTGTGAAGGGGAGGAAAATGGCACTAGCAACTCCCTTAATGCATTAGCTATTTTTAACTCTATGTGCTTCTTAGAAGGTTTCTTTTAAATGACTTCTTAAACATCAGAGGTCTCTATTGTAAGCTTCAAAGGTGTCTTCCTTTGTATCTAAGAGCAGTTGAGAAGGTCATTAATATCTGCTGTTTGTACTTCAGTGGGTTGAATTCTATAGAAATTACTCCATCTGTGTTTTAAATCCACAGTTTATGGGAGGAAATGCTTTGCACCTGGGAGTCTTGAGCAAGTATACTGTATGTGGTATATGTGGCTACATAGACAGTTCAAAGGCTCTTTACTCATCCTTTATTAATAATTTTATAACCATTTAATCGCTTACAATTTTCCTACCCACCAAAATAGGGTTTAGAATACTCATGAGTTTGGCTTTAGGATGACTGTCACTCATATTTAATGAAGTTGAAGTCAATTTGAATAGGCTTAGACCATGTCCAGGAGAAGGTAGGAGATTGTTGACAGAAAGGGTAAGTCTGCAACACCTCCTGACGTGTTTTACTATAGTATGTCTTTAAACACTCTCCAGTCCCTTGCCAGTAGACCGTACTTCTAAATGCTCTGTTAGATTTGAGCAACTGAAAACTTGTAGCAGATGAGAAAAGATAGATCAAATGCAGTACAGCAGAGCATATCTAATGCTCATCTCTGAAACAAGTTGGGATACTACCACATCTGCCCCATGACTAATTTATGGCCATTAAATTGGTTTATGAATTTTGTGAGATATTTTTGTATATGGGTGTGTTGTTTGTTTTTTAATGAAAGCATTATGGTATTAATGTGTGGAATGCATGGAATTGGCTCATTGATTCCAGTGTCTATTTAGTTGCATACCTCCTTTAAAATAAATTTTCATGATCTCTAATGTTTTTGAGGCATGTAGCTGTACAGACATGTAAAGCCTTTGTTAATGCAAATATTAATACCCAGAAATGTTAAATGCAAGGCACATAATGCCAGGTAAAGAATTGTGGGGTTTAGTTCTAATCATACTCTGTGTATGTATATTAAGTTCTTTTTGTGCATGCATTTGATAATTAATGCATTACTTTTCTGGAGGAAAAAATTCTTGGAAAAATTTTGGGAAAATTTTCTTGGAAAAATTCTGGAGGAAAAACTTTCTTGCCTCACTTGGTGAGATCACCAAGTTTCAGTGGTTTGTCTTGTTGGGTTTTTTTGTTTTTTTTCTTCCCCTTAAGTATGCATCCTCAGAAATACTTTATTTCCTCAGAGGCACTCATGTAGCACATTCAACTAGCTAAACTAGCTAGGAAGCACAAAAAAAAATACTGTTTTTTTTCTTGTGTGCATGTGCTCTACGTGGCTTACAAGTACAGTGAGTGTTCATGTCAGTGTGAATAGTGAGAACTTCTGTCAGTGTATTTCTGAAACATTTCTAGGGGATGTAGGAACATAAAAAGGGATGGTGTTATGTCTGATTTTTTTAAAAATAACGCTCAATATGTTTCAATCCCATTCTTGTACCTTAAGATACAAAGAGAATTTTTTTTTTTCCAAATGCTGCTTCACTGTAACTGGGAATAAAGTGGGACTTGAAAGAATGATACGTAACTTTCTGTTTAAGTAGTACAGAAATGAAGCACATGGCATAGTTCTGCCTGGAGCAGTCTAACCATCTGGTTTCTTTCAGTAAGTTTTAGCTTCCTTTTGAATGGAAACAAATTTTCAGATGTTTCTCTTCTAATTTTTATACAGGCTATGAATGAAATGAATGGGAAAGAGATAGAAGGGGAAGAAATTGAAATAGTGTTAGCAAAGCCACCGGATAAGAAAAGGAAAGAACGTCAGGCTGCCAGACAGGCTTCCAGAAGTACTGCGTGAGTGTTCATTCTTCACTACTGTAATACTGCAGAATGAAGTTCTGCTGTAAAATGAGCTAGTTTGGAGAAAAGTCATTCAGGTTCTTCTATGTTATGTATTGTTAATCAACAAGGGGAAATTTATACTTTATTTTGGGAGACTTTTGAAGATAAATAATTGCATGTTTCTTTTTCTTAATAGGTATGAAGACTATTATTACTACCCTCCACCTCGCATGCCACCTCCTATTAGAGGCAGAGGCCGTGGAGGGAGAGGTGGATATGGCTATCCCCCAGATTACTATGGCTATGAAGATTATTATGATGATTATTATGGTTATGACTATCATGACTACCGTGGTGGCTATGAAGATCCCTATTATGGCTATGACGATGGCTATGCTATAAGAGGAAGAGGAGGAGGAGGAAGGGGTGGGAGAGGTGCCCCTCCACCACCTAGGGGGCGGGGAGCACCACCACCAAGAGGTAGAGCTGGATATTCACAGAGGGGGGCACCCATGGGACCGCCAAGAGGAGCCAGGGGTGGGAGAGGGGGTCCTGCACAGCAGCAGAGAGGACGCGGTGCTCGTGGAGCCAGGGGCAACCGTGGGGGCAACGTAGGAGGCAAGAGAAAGGCAGATGGGTACAACCAGCCTGATTCCAAGCGCCGTCAGACCAACAACCAGCAGAACTGGGGCTCCCAACCCATCGCTCAACAGCCGCTCCAGCAAGGTGGTGACTATGCCGGTAACTATGGTTACAATAATGACAACCAGGAATTTTATCAGGATACTTATGGGCAACAGTGGAAGTAGACAAGTGAGGAGGGATTGAGAATATTGGAAACATAGAATTGGCTATAGCTCTACATCCTTCAAAACAAAATTGGCTTAATGTTTCATCCTTCAGTAGCGATTGGCTGCCATTTGTATTGGGCTGAAGAATCACTCTATTGTGTATATACTCGAGTCTCTTAGTTTTCTTTTTTCATAAACGCACTTGGACATTACTGGGCTTGCAGAATTCCTGAACTCCATATGGGGTTTCAATGCTTTTATCATTTTAGGCTTCATTTTAGCAGTTTAAAAGCAGGAATGGCACACTGTTCAATCATGATTTTGCAGAACCTCTGGTTTTGGACAGTTTCTTTTTTTTTTTTTTTTTTTTTTTTTTTTTTTGGGATAGACTACATAGGAGTATGCTGTACATAAAAGTAAAAGCTAGTGCTTTGTCTTAGTAGTTTTAAGAAATTACAACAAATTAAGTTTTCTTGTATTGAAAATAACATGATTGTATGTTTTGCATTCCTAGAAGTAGGTTAACTGTGTTTTTAAATTGTTATAACTTCACACCTTTTTGAAAATCTGCCCTACAAAATTTGTTTGGCTTAAAACGTCAAAGCCGTGGCAATTTGTTCCTTGATGTGATTGTATTTCCAATTTCTTGTTCATGTAAGATTTCAATAAAACTCAAAAATCTATTCAAAACATTACCTATTTCAAATTCAATTGTGTCCTAAAACATTATTTCATTGGTAATTCTTGCGAAAAACACTGTTTTCAAAGTATAACTGCCTATGTGAGTGATCAAATTCATGCAAAATTTCTTGTGCTTTCCAACATGTAGCACTGTGGACATCAGACTGAAAACTAGGAGAAATTACAGATAGCCCAAAGGGCACTCTTTGTTTAATTGCTGTTCAGTAACTTACCAGCATCTAATTTTGAAATTTTTTTTCTTTTAAAAAGTGTTGAAATGTATCCAAACATTCAGAGATCTAATTTAAATATAATATTCTAATGTAATGTGGAGAAGGAAGCAGAGCCTACAATGGTGTTAATTTTGTTCCTTTTTATTATGTACTGTGGAGTCCCTCTAGAGGCTATTCTGTTAGGAACCAGCCATTGTGTATTATTCAGTGTACAAACACATAGGGAAATGGTTTTGATCTCAAGCATCTTAGTCTAATTTAAGATAATATTTGACTAGGAATGAGAATTATAAATTAAATGCTGTGGCACAGTAAACTAACTTCTTGCTACAGATAACACAAACATACTCTCCATATTCTGCTTATTTCTGTCTTGACATTTAATTTGATGTTCTGCCATGATGAACAATTTGCCTTAGAATTCTCATGCCTTGTAATAAAGGCTGTTTAAAAAAAATAAGTAATATCTTCTGGGGGCATTACTAGCTACATTATTGGGGTATTATGTGTTGCTTTGACCCTTGTCTTGGACATTCCCAGATGTCAATTTTAACTGGCAAGTCATGACATTACTCTTCTGTTGCATCTGAGCCATTCTGTACCCCAATGAAGAACATTTGCTTCTCAAGAAAAGAGAGAAACAAACGGATTTAAACTTTCCCTAAAGAAAACTATTGCCGGACTTCTAAATATCCAAATCAAATACATTGCTCATACTTGATTTACAGCATTCTAAACACAGACTATTGAGGAAGTTAAACTTCAGTGGTCATACTCCTCCCTTTGTCTTCTATTCCTGTCTGGTGTCTCTCAAGTGTATTATGTCAGAATGTAAACAGATGAGCCTTCCCACGCTTTACTGTTGTGGGTCTGGTATACGATTGCATGGTTTGAGTTTTGATCTGAATTGAAGTGAGGGTGTTTATCTGGTTCTCAAAAACGGGTTTGCCCCAGTGTCAGGCTCTTCCTTTCAAATTAATAGAATTACTCATAAATAATTTAAAGTGCTTTTTAAAATTAGCATTTAGTATGTTAAAGCCCTTTTTGGTTTGGTTTCGTGGTTTGTTTTTTTTTTTTTTTCTTCATAAAGTTAATGGGACCAAATCCTGTCCTCTCTGTTCCTTACTTGAGCAGTGAAGTCAGAGGGGTATTGCCTGGGTATATGTTTCAGGCTTTTACTTGTGGTAAGGATCTGGCTTGTAATTTTGTTTTAATACAAGGATTTGCTGTCCTATCAGTATGACTTTATAGTAATTACATAGCTTGTGTGGTGTTGAGCAGAACCCTGTAGTCCCAATAAGTATTTGCTTTTCAGTAATCATTGCAAAGGGGATCTGTTACAAGGGAGCTTAATTGGAATCAAATTTAAAGTACTCTCCATTGTGCAAGAAAGATAGTGTTCACATACTGCATGCTTAAATTGTCAGCCCAGGAGAGGTGAAGTGTCAGTGCATGCTTATGGGGGGTGTGGGGAGGAAGTGAAATGCTTCAATTATAATGTTTACAAAAAAACTAAGGAACAAAAATGTTAAAATTGTCTTCCTCAAGAATTGTAAAGCTGCATCTTGTATTTATTTCTGGCCAAATCACCATTTATCCTAATATTTTTATTGAATATGGGAAGTGAGCTATACACTTTTATAATTTAAAATTAAAATCAGTAAAAGTTTATATTTACAAGATATATCAAGTTCTTCGATTTACGTGATTTATGGATACTCAAATTCATCATTTAAATTTGCAGCAATGCTTTACTGAATCCTTAAAGATAACGCGTACTACAACTTACTTGAGTAGTGGTGTATATTGAACTTGAAGAACTTAACAAAGTTATTGAAAAAAATTATTGAACAAAGATATTGTAGCACAGTGGAAAAATCTACCATCCTGATGACAGATACTCAAGGGAAGAATTTTTCATTATTTTCTCAGCACAATTCTGATACATAATCAAAACAAAAAATAAATTTAAATTTACTCTTGTGCACTGTTTTGATCATTTCTTCAGTATAACTTAGCAAAAATCCTCTTCTAGAACATGTTGAAAATGGATTTCAACTTGCAAACCAATATTAAACTTTTATGAGTGTCCTGCTGGCATTGGAGGAGGAGCCATGAAATGGGATTTTAGTAATCATTTGATCACTCATTTATAGCAGTTGCTTAAATGTCTGTTATCGATAAGGTGTTTGACTTAAAAATAAGTATGTTGCCAGATTCCTAGCAATTCCAAAACTTGAGCAAAAGATTTTTACAGCTATTGTGTTATTATAGACTTTCACATTATTAACAAAATCAGTTTACTAAACTCAGCTTTTAATTTTACTAATATATTAAACATTGTCTGCATTTTTTCAAAGCATTAAAGGTTTAATTTTCTGTAGCAATTGTTTATTTTCAGGACTCAGCTTCTGTAGTCTATTTATTACAGAATGACATCTGCATTGCTTAAACCTTTCAAAATAAGTAAATCACCACATGATTTTGGTGACTCTGTATGAAAACCTGACTACTTTTTGTCCCCTCTGCATTAGGACATGAAGCCCATTTCTGTATTTTGAACTACACAGAAAAAAAATACAGAAGGCACTCTTATTATAAGGCTAGCAGAAAAATAAATGTGAAGTATTGATCAAAAAGTCTTAAACCTCTTAGTAAACCATGTTTGAACATCTAGACCTGTAGACCCTAATGCAGATGTATGTATTTTCGGTAAGACTTAATTGTTATCCAAAAATGATGGTGGCCCATACGTAGAACAGCAAGGACCCTATCCTACAAATCTGTCATGAATAATCTTTGATCGTGCATGACTCGAGTTGGAGTACTTGTGTGATCAAGGATTGCTTGTGCAGTGAAGGTTTGCCAGATTGAATTCTGTCATTCACATGAACTACTTAAGTAGATCAGAGCCTTATAGAAAGAGTGTACCAAGTTGTGTTTCCTGTTTTTTCTAAATAAAAAAAGAAAAAAAAAAAAAGTTAGAGCTTCTGTTAACTTAGAATTTGAATGACGCTGTTGCAGTCTATTGGCTTAAAATGTCTTTTGAAACCCAGAGTGGCTAAGCTGAACATATATTAGTTGATAAAATGTGTAGAGTGGTGGTGGTGGTGGGGAAATCATTTGTGTTAAAGGGAAATCTTAAGCTTTTTTTCTCACTCAAACAAAATAGTCAAGGTGGATCTGCAATATTTGGTTATTGATCAGGAACGTTTGAAATTTTAGAACAGGAGAATCCCTCTGAAGAAGTGTTTTAACAACTTGGAGGTTACCAGAAGCTCTGAAAGACAGTTCAGAATATATTGCATCACGTTTTCTGATGTCCAGAAATCTGCAAGTGTCAATTTTGTATTTTAACTCCTTCCTTTTACCTGACTATCAGGGAAGCGTGGTTGAGGCTGACCTGACATGTCATGATGTCGACTTGCTAGGTGGGGTTCGCAAGGGACATTAACCTTGGAGTTATCGGTAAGACAACTTTCTTTCTAATTTCATTCAGTAAGATTAAAGGGCTGGGGTGGGAGGAGGGAGGAGATGAGCTCCACAGACCTGATCACTGGAATATTGTTGAAAATCTGCCATTACCATGGAGAGATTCCAAGTGCTGAAGGTAAAGGTTAAATTTAAATTTGTCCATGTCCAAGAGGAGCATGGCATAGGTTCTTACAGCTGAAATCAATTTGAAAATAAAGATGACTTGGGCTTCAAAAGAAAACTGGATGCTATTTTAGGGATGCTGGAAGCAGAAAAGATTTTGAACACTTAAGTTTTTCCTCTGTAATTAAATCCAGGTATGTTTGTTCCCCCCGCCCCCATGAAAAAGCAAAGGACTTGCAGCACACTTCTTCAAAGTCTAAGAATGCTCTTAAGAAATGTGTCCAAGTAGATCTCTAAAATAATTTTATCTTGAAAATAACAACAAAACTGGCATATCATGAGTTTGGATCATTTCTCTATTGAACATGATAATGCTTAGAAGGCATTAATTGAGAGAGAATTGCTATTAAACCAAGGGGCAGTTGTAGTTGATCCCATTATAAAACCGCTGGATTTTAGTAATCTTTTTTTTGTGGAGGGCATGATACGTTGATTCTAGACAAAGAAGTAGCAAAAGCTGAAGAACAGATTTGCAGATCAAGCTTGAAATACTTGGACATGTTGAATCCTTCATGGCACCTGCTCATCTTGCACTTTTTCTCAGCCAGAAGTGTCAAGACCTTTCTTTTCCTGATTGTACATTTATGCAGTACTTTGAAAGGAGCAGAGAAGTCGGAACAGCTTACTAGGCTATAGGAGCATTCCAGGTTCAGCCATTCTTTATTGTGGAACTGAATAGCATGCCAGTTCTGATGCCAGCTACAGAAGAAATGTAACTGGTGAGTAGAGGTATTTTGTAAGGATTTTTCAGATGTGAAATACTTGTTTAATTTGAGATAAACTTTGCTTGGCATACCTCAATTTGAGAACAGTTTTGATCACACAAACTCATCAATGCTGTTTCACTTGAAAGATCTTAAACAGAAATAAGAGGATCTCTTTTAACTCTGGATTGTCCGATCTGCATGGTTACATGGAATTACTGATAATACGAAGTGTAGTAGGACTTGTTGAATATGCTCAGGTGGCCTGTCTCTTGGAAATGAAGCAGACAGCAAGGTTGTTATGGGGTGGGGAGGAACCCCTAAGTGGATTGGCTTTTGCACACGTGGAATTTGGAGATACCTGTAGGAATACACAATGGGCCGTACTTCTTTCATAAAACAGAAACATCAGTCTCTCGTCAGTGAGGTTTATAAATTTAAAACACAACTTCAAAATGTATTTCTGTGATTATAATCTACCAAATTGCGTTAAATGCAAAAAAACAAAAGGAAGAAAGAATGAAGAGCGGACCAAATTTTAGTTCTGCCCTCCTTGCTTCGAGTACAGTTTCATTTTTTTTCCTTCCTTAGCACCAGTGAGCATGCAGTCTTGCTCATTAATTTTCCTGTTGAACTTCCTGCAGAGCTTGTGTAAGTGTAAGATACACGATTACTTCTTTCTCTGTTTTTTTTAAATCTTCACAGCAGCCTCTGAGAGGTGGTTGTGTTTCCATTTTAATTTCAAGGAATGAGTATCCGTTGCATCAGTACCTGTTTCCATGGCATTATTCTGACGTACCTTCAGACATTTCAAATTCGGCATGCAGAAAATGCATACCCAACTTGAATTTAAGAGGGGATGTCGTATAAGCGTTAATTTTGTGATAGGAAAGGAAATCTAATTCTGGAGAGCTTTCAGCTGTCTTAGCAGCGGATGGTCTTTTCTCTTTTTAAATTCCCTACTGTGTGGCTTTAACTTCTACAGAAAAAGGGGAAGTGAAATGCTGCATGGGCTAAAAGTCCTGTGATTAAAAATAGTTCAAGTGTATAATTGAAGATAGTATCGTAATGCATGTACTCAGGAGAACTGAATACAAGTGCACGAGCAGTAATTTTTGATGTTTCTTAGGCTCACTTTTTAACCAGTTCCTGGATCCGGACTACTTTCTGAAAGAATTCTTTGACGCACATTCTAAGGTGCCACGTTGAACCCTACTTTAATCAGGTTTTAAAATTCCATATATTGAACCACTGAGGTAGAGAATTAGTGTAACTTTTTGCTGGTAGTACCTGTAGACCAAACACCAAAAAGGATAAGAACACCTTGTTTTAAGTTTCATGTCTGTTTTATCAAGACTGGAGATCTTGAACTCATCCTTGTGCATTTTCACTCAAAATCAATTGCAATTACAGATTTTTTTCCCCATTCTTCTGGGTGAGCTCTTTCCTCTTTTTTGTTCTGCTCAGTGCTGGCAGTAGCAACACTGAGATCACAGGAGAGGAGTTCTTCCTACTCTTAATATCGTGCATCCATGAGGTTGTGGCAGCTTGGAAAAACCATTGCAATGAACTTTATTTTCATGCAAATCTTTACTGAGTGACTTCTGCCCTGTAACATGCAAATACTGGAGCCAGTATGCAACTTATCTGCAAGAATTTTTAATATGCAGTTATGTTGAAATGCTGCTGGTATCAACATCCAAACCATCTCACTTAATACAGTTTTCCCAGAGATTCTGGCTGAGATGAGATATTCAGCATGGAGCATTCCGCTTTGAACAGCAGGAAGAGGTTGCAAGCTGCTGAAGACAACCTCATAAGCTGTTGATGAGCAGCTTGACAAAATATATTGGTGTTGCTGTTTATTCAGTTATCAGTCACTGACATCTCCACTCCCCCAGTAAAACTGAGAACTGAGCATAAATGATTCTTCCTGTAAGGCAGCAGGTCCAGCCTGTTAGTTAATATTTTATTTATCACTTTATTTCCCCCTTGAACAGCCAGCGGTAGTAGGTGTTCTTAGGGTATGAAATATGCATTCCAATCTTCCCCATGTTTCCTGTTTTCTTTGTTTCTGCTGGTTTGCTGGCTGTTACTGTGCTCTCAGGTATTTAGGTTGTTTCCAGTTGGAGGAGTAGGAGCAAATATGTTCTGCTTATTTTTTTCCTCTTGAAAGTATTGGAAAGAGGAGAAGTAGAAAAGCTGTATAGCTGAGGAAGTCTAAGCATGCAGCCCATTATGAGCAGCTGTGACGGGTCCTGCTTTTGGTTAGAAGAAAAATTTCCTCTGCCTCCTCTTCTGATAAAGTTCATATTGAAGAGCTTGTGCTGATCTGGTACTTCTCATCAGGTCTTTGTTGCAGAGCTTTTCTGTGAGCTTGATCTGAGTGGGAAGTGTGTTGGAAACTGCTGCCCTGAAGACTGGGATGCACTTAAGGCAGAGTTTTGGTTTTATTTCAGTGCAAAGGAATAAATTACTGTTAAATTAAATGAATAAAATTACTTTGTTAAATGTAGAACAAACTCTTCCTGTGGATGTGTTTAGGCAGGTTCTAGCTATTGTGCATCAAGTAAGAGCAACCTTGTGCAATGTTTGTGAACCAGCACACACACTTCCTTCCAAAGCTCAAATAAATTGTCTGATCTAAGTGCTCCATGTTAGTGGATCAGTTGTACAGGAGAGGCTTTAATATCTTTGTAATACGCTAATCCACAGATAAGCATGTGGATTAACTTTTCGCACATGATGCCGCAACAAGATTAGTTTTTCCTTTGGAAATGTAAGGAGTCTCTTGTGTCGTTTTTCTTGACAAAACAGAAAGCTTTTGGCTACAGTCAGTGCATAGACACTTCAGTTCTGATTTCTTTAAAGGAGTGTACGTGTTCTGACTAATATCATGTCTGTGGTGAATTGCATTGAACTAAAGTAGTCCTAATTTTTAGTCTTGAAACTAGTTTTTATCCTGCTATACTTGCTTGCAATTTATCTTTCCACTTTGTTTGGAATGCTGTGTTGAGGAGATCAAAGCTGTGTACTGAGCATCTTGCATACAGAGAAGTTAGCCTGTTCTTTGGCTGCTAGTTATGCTCTACCTGCATGATAGAGAACATAGGATTAGTTCTTGTCTATCAACTTCTGAAAAGCTTCTGAGCTTCCATCAGGAGTACTTTTGAAAGTGTTGGAGCAAAAGAGAGCAGTGGCTTGGTATGCTGGGGTGTATAGACATTTTTGATACCAAGGAGCTACCTAGAAAAGTTAGGTTAACCTAACTAGGGGAATCTCCAGATAGGCAAGAGGCAAATTATTTAGCTGTGGTTTTAGAACCACTTAAATAATGTCTATTCTTGCTTGTAGCAATGATTTCCTTAAAGCACCGGGTAACCAGTTGCTTGAGTTTGTTGGCAGAGCTGTAACAATAGTGTCTTTAAAAATATTTAAGAATATTTATATGGGTGGGGCAAAAGGCTTTTTCTCCTCCAAATAAGCTTTATTTTAAGTACTTGCATTAAAAACTGAGGGAATATAATCCAGTTTAGTTAATCTGTACAGTTTCTATGCACAAATCTATTTTTCCAGTCATATGATCAGTACCCAAAACTAGTTACTGGGCATTTTAGTGCCTTCAGAAAGGGGACTGGGTGAACTAAAGTTTTTTCAACTTATAAAAAGGGGTCTCGGAAGACTTGAGAGAGAAGAGAGTACACTGTTGGGAAGAATCAGGCCCTTGGTTTTATTAGTCCTGGATAGTTTGTAAAAGTCTGCTTCTAGTCTAACCCTTTTTCAGGGTTTTTCCAGTTTCAAAACGTAGCAGTTTACAAAAAATTAGAACTACCTTGTCTCCATTGAAACAGCTTGTGAAGTTGGGTCAGATTTCTTAAATTATACTTGATGGCCTCAGACCTGGAACAGTCAGTGGATTATTTGATCATTGTTTTCCCAGTTAATTAATTTAACATTTAGTGCTTGCAGGTCTTAAAAAAAAAAAACCAAAAAACAAAAAAAAACCCCAAAAAACCAAAAAAAAAAACCAACCAAAAAAACCCAAAAAACCCCAAACACAACACAAAAGAAACCCCAACTAACAAACCCCCACAAAAAATGAAAATG